ACAATATTAAAAATAAAAAAAATTATACAAGCATTGCAGCTGCCTGTGTTTGGATAATGGGACAAATTTAGTACTTGTTTGGGAGGGATTTTTGGGAGAAGAATTGATTTTGAATAGTGATATGATGGGAAATGTGTAGTTGAAAAAGAAGAAAAAGTATTGATATGATAGAAAATATTATTTTATTGAAAAATGTGTGATTCAAAATGAGAATTGATTTAATGTAGAATTTTAAGAATCCCCACCAAACAGGGCCTTAGTGTTTGTACTTTGCTAATTTAATAATTATTTAGTCACTAGTAGGCTAATTAAGTGCCTCTTTGAGCCCCATTTTTTGCTCAAAATACATTTTAGAATAGTATTTTGTAGGAAAATGTGTGGTTAAAAAAATAAGGAAAAGTTTTAGATTTGTTTTTAATATTATTTTATTGAAAAATGTATAATAAAAAATAAGTGTGTGTGTGATGTATTTTGAAAATAATGGATATTAAAGAAAGGCTTAGGAGTCTATGCTAATTAATTAAAAACTGAACTAGAATTCACAATTATGCTCAATGACAGAGACAAAAGAACAAGGCGTTCTTCTTTTTAGACTTTTTGCATAATGAGACAGAAATAATATATGTACTAGACTAATTTAAAAATAGAAGTCCATGATTTTACCCATAATTATATAATTAATAAATAATTAAATTACTAGCCTCAGTTCAAATCTATATTGATTAAATGCTTGTCTAAACAGGCGACTGTAGCTGCACGCACAATAACTGGCCCTGTTCACGGGCCGGCTCGAACTCTGGCCAATGTCCAAAAATAAGGTTCGGCCTGTGCCTCAACTCGATCTTGTCAAGTCTCAAGTCAAGCGGGATCAGACTTTTTCCGAGCCAAGCCACGCGACATCTGAGCCGACGAGTCAATTTGATATCCTTACAGATTGGTTTCATATTAGAGCGAGGTTTGATTGTTTCGGATTTCATCGCATAATTTGCTATATTTTCTCTTTGGGTTTGGTGGTGGTGGTGAGGACGGGGTGTGACTTGTGAGGGTGGGGAAGGAGAAGAAAATAAAGTAAACTTACTTTTTAAAAAATATATATATATTTTTTTAAATTATTTTACGTGGAAAATATAAAATTATTATTCTAGCTTTTTAAAATTGGTCATAATCTAATCTATCATATATGATATATCCCTCCCCTCCACTCCCACTCAAATTTAAAAAAAAAAAGGGGGACTATGGTCACTCAATTAAACATGTACCAAATAGTGTGTCGTTGCTATTTTTCATAAATATGTGTACGCAATTTGGAACATTGTAGGAAATAGAAACCCTAAAGTCCACCACAACAAACCCTCTATTGCAAAATTGATTTGCCACCCTCCATCGTATGGGAAACATAAGTCGATAGGTTTACCGTTTATAGAAGAAAAGGTAGGGTTCCAAATATTGAAGAAATCGAAACCAATCAACTTTTTTCCATTTTAAAAAAGTAAAACAAAACATAGGAGGAGACACTCAAATATTGAATGATCTCAACTTGTCATTGCCACAAAAACCTAGCATACTTTTTCTTTCTTTCAATTTTGCTTTTTATTTTTCCAAGGGAGGCATGAATTTATGTGGCAAGTAGTCTCTCTCAAAGGCTGGAGCCAAGAGTAGAAGGTTTGGACGTCAGATTTCCTCCAACTAACTTGTCTTTTCCCTTCTCAAATTCCAAGAATAGACACATATATGCCATTTGCAACAAAAAAATAAAAGACATGTCAAAATATAAGACAAAGAAGATGCTAACAATCATTTTTGAATAGGAAAAGACACCATCCAACTTTAAATTATTTTATAATTAATCTTATTAATTTGAGAAATTTCTAATTGAAAATTGAGCAGAAATGGTAACAAGGCACGACCAAACTAAAATTAAAAATATATTGACAATATTTAGGTTGATTGAGATATTAAATAACTAATCACTTACATGTGAAGATTTGTAAAATAAGTGTATATACTATTCCCCTATTTTAACTTAATCGTTGAAGCGATTTCAGAAAGACATTTTGTCATCCAATGCAAAAATCGGACTCGATATTCATTAAGCCCATATTTGACAAAGCTTTTCAAAATTATAAGTTGATAAATCCTATGAAATGTATTACTAAAAATGAAATTTGATCAGTTTATAATCTTAAAAAATACTTTGTCAAACTAGCTAAGCGAAAGTTATAATTTTCCACTTCCTCCACCAATTTATCCGCCAAAGCAAACACAGCCCTATCTCCAAAACAATCCCGCTACAATTACATTCACTTTGACAGTTTTTTGACAGCGTGTGAGCGGACACATATTCTTGCCTTTGATTTCGACAACATTTAAAATAATTAATGACAAATTTTTACACCTCACAGAATGTTAACTTTAAGTACCGCTACAATAGCATAAAAAGTATTTGGGCAAAACCCAAGACATATAGCATTAATGACTATATATGAAAACAACGACTTCAGTTAAAAAGCAACAGCAATTGCAGTTTCCACACTCCATTCTACACATGAAAACAACGTCGTTAGCTCGAAAGTAATAGCAGTTTCCCTCACAGACCTCACCCCCACCATTCATCTACTAACACATTAGTACAAAGATTAATTGAAATTTTATTTATTATATTCATCAATCTTATCGAATATTTGTACATTACATGCTCAACCAGTCCAGTTCAAGATTAAGACAAAAAGACGAGAACACATACTCAAGCTGTTCAGCCCTAGACATTCCATTTCCATTATAATGCTACAATTTAGGAATGGCAATGAGATTGGTATGGGACGGGTCGGCCATTTCCATCACATCCCGTCGAGTATTTTTGTCACTTTATCCCACCTCCATACCCGATTAAAGCAGAATGGGAGATCAGGGTAGGGTGGGGAGAGGAGGGTCCCCTGCCCCATTTATCGTTCCATATTTTTTATTTTATTTTTTTATTTTTTATAGTTTTAGATAGTAAATATTATTATTTTTTTACATAGTCTCTCTCAAAGGCTGGAGCCAGGAGTCGAAGGTTTGGACGTCAGATTTCCTCCAACTAACTTGTCTTTTCCCTTCTCAAATTCCAAGAATAGACACATATATGCCATTTTCGACAAAAAAAAAATAAAAGACATGTCAAAATATAAGACAAAGAAGATGCTAACAATCATTTTTGAATAAGAAAAGACACCATCCAACTTTAAATTATTTTATAATTAATCTTATTTATTTGAGAAATTTGAGTAGAAATGGTAACAAGGCACGACCAAACTAAAATTAAAAATGTATTGACAATATTTAGGTTGATTGAGATATTAAGTAACTAATCACTTACATGTGAAGATTTGTAAAATAAGTGTATATACTATTCCCCTATTTTAACTTAATCGTTGAAGCGATTTCAGAAAGACATTTTGTCATCCAACGCAAAAATCGGACTCGATATTCATTAAGCCCATATTTGACAAAGCTTTTCAAAATTATAAGTTGATAAATCCTATGAAATGTATTACTAAAAATGAAAGTTGATCAGTTTATAATCTTAAAAAATACTTTGTCAAACTAGCTAAGCGAAAGTTATAATTTTCCACTTCCTCCACCAATTTATCCGCCAAAGCAAACACAGCCCTATCTGCAAAACAATCCCGCTACAATTACATTCACTTTGACAGTTTTTTGGCAGCGTGTGAGCTGACACATATTCTTGCCTTTGATTTCGACAACATTTAAAATAATTAATGACACAAATTTTTACACATCACACAATGTAAACTTCAAGTACGCTACAATAGCATAAAAAGTATTTGGGCAAAACCCAAGACATATAGCATTAATGACTATAAATGAAAACAACGACTTCGGTTAAAAGCACAGTTTTCCACACTCCATTCTACACATGAAAACAACGTCGTTAGCTCGAAAGTAATAGCAGTTTCCCTCACAGACCTCACCCCCACCATTCATCTACTAACACATTAGTACAAAGATTAATCGAAATTTTATTTATCATCAACTTATCGAATATTTGTACATTACATCCTCAACCAGACTAGTTCAAGATTAAGACAAAAAGACGAGAACACATACTCAAGTTGTTCAGCCCCAGACATTCCATTTCCATTATAATGCTACAATTTAGGGATGGCAATGAGATTGGTATGGGACGGGTCGACCATTTTCATTCAATCCCGTCGGGTATTTTTGTCATCTTATCTCACGATTCCCACCTCCATACCCGATTAAAGCAGGATGGGACGAGATCAGGGTAGGGTGGGGAAAGGCGGGTCCCCTGCCCCATTTATCGCCCCATATTTTTTATTTTATTTTTTGTTTTTTATTTTTTATATTTTTAGGTAGTAAATATTATTTTTTTTTACTAATTTATTTTAAAAAAATTATATTCTCTTTCAAAATGATAATAAATCTATTATTTTTATTTGATAAAAAAACTTAAATTAGAAATTAATTTTAAACGGAACGGGTAGCGGACGAGACTATATTTCTCGTATCCGCTTTGAGGTTGTGATCATCACCCCCGTCCCGGCCTCGCTTATCCAATTAGGCAGTTAATTTCCGTCTCATTTGAGGCGGGACCCACAGGTATCGAGTTGAACGATTTTTTTGTCATCTCTATTACAATTACTTCAACAAATTACAAATTATTTGTTGTAAATCATTCAAATCTAAACTAATACTTTTTTCCATTTGATTTTTCGATGTTAATATGTAAGATAATCCTTCTTTTTCAAACTCTTCCGATATTTCTATACAACCGACCTCCTCGATACATGTAGTACTCGACTGAACTAACGATATAATAACAATTTATCTTCTTTTTTTCCAGACTGAGTGATTTATTTCCGGTTTGCGAAGGAGGCAGAGAGCAAACCGGAGGCTTCTGAAAAGACAAAAGTGAGAAGAATATGGATGTTTGCCGGTAGCCGGTTATCCTAGTACGAAAATTACCACATGGAGGATGATTAATATGGCTGAGTGAACGACTTTGTCAGTTTTCCGAGTCTCTCGACCAACTCCGGTGACAATTTCTTCGATGGATTCCTTTCCTCCAATCGGAAATCGAATCCAAGAGCATCAGAAACCTCGTCGGATCTCCAGCCGGCTTTCCGGAGTATATCCGAGAACCGATCTGTTTTCAATAACAAAGCATCAAGAACTGCTTGATTGTCCAGCATCACCATCTCTCCATCAAAGAATCCAGATGCTGGAACGTGTACAATCTCAGAGACATCAGATTCTGCCCACCCGCCTTCTCTTAGAACTTGCCCGATTTGGGATACGTATTCCTCGACCCATTCGGGGATTTCGTATCTTGGCACGTCGAAATATCTATCTGGCGACGATGAAGACGTAGATGAGGAATCTGAGATCCTTCGCCGCCGATAGATGGCGGCGTCGCTCCAGAACTCCACCCACCGTGGCGTTCTTGTAACGGAGATAGTGTCTAGACTTTTTCTTGAAGAATTAGTCGATGATCTGCTTAGTTTTTCACTTGTGGAGAGCTGCTTGGAGAGTATATTTTGATTAGGGCTTTGAAATAGAGAAGATTCACGATCAAAGAAATCTGATAAGTCGAATCCACAAAAGCAAATCCGATTTTCATCGATGTAGAATATGGGGTTTCCTGCTAGACAAGGATTGCACGGAATGTAACAATGGTTGAAAACGGGTATCAAAAGAGGGACCCTTTTAAGTGCATTTCGGGCTACTTTCAAGGCCTTTTCCGGGTCGGATGGTCTGGTGCCCCATGACCTGGACCAGAAGGCGTTCCGAGCTATGTGAAAGGAAATTGAGGCGATAGGAAGATCGATGGAGGAGCGGAGGTGATGCCGAGCCGAACGAGCGGAGCGCCAGTCAGGAAAGCCGGCGCCGAGGGGTAATCCGGCTGAGAGAACAGCTTTCAGGTCCGGCGGAAAGGCAAAGCCAAACTCCGCCTCGGCTAGTGCGAACTCGGACTCGGATAATCCGGGTTGGACTTGAATTCCCGAGTTCTTGAGATGATTAATGACTTTATCTGCAAGGGAAGAAAATGAGAGGAGGCTATTACGCGGCGGAAGAGGCGTGGAAGGGGTGGAGGCGGCGGCTCTGGCAGAGAGACGGCGCAGGCCGGCTACGTGACCCGGATTTAAGCCGGTCATCCTCAGTTCGACGTCGACCATTCTTTAAATTTACCGGGAAATCGAGCGGGAGAAACTATTCTGATTTTCGGTGGCCGGTGAATTTTTAGAGAGTAGAAAGTGGAATGATGATACTGAAATGAAAAATTGGGAAAGGAAAATAAATGGAGAGATATTTATAGCATGACATTGGGGGCCCACTTTCAGATTTTAGTCATATAAATAAATTTCTCTCTTTTTCTCTTTCTTTTTTCTTTGTTGGAAGTATATAATGGTAGTGACAGTTTAATTATTTAATAATTTAGTTTAAAACGAGAGATTTTTGTTAGATATCATATGAGTATTTATTTTGAAGCAAAAAGGATCCAAAACTAAAAGCAGCTTCGTGTTTGTATATGAGTGGGCCCACATTCGGGTGGCATCTAATGAAACTTTACTTCTTGTTCAAAATTCTAAGTTGTCTTAGCTAATCGGTAATATGATGACACGGAAGGATAATATCCGATCAATCAAGACCAGAAGTTAATCGATCAATTTCAATTCTAACCCAAAAGTTGTGGAAACTCGACTAAATATAACGATATACTGTTTCAACTGCTTTAAAACATTCGTACGACCGTTCTACTTTTCGTACCTTACATTTTTCTTTTCTTTTTCACAGTCACTGCAAATTCTAATATGTTTGAATTATAAGGAAAGGAGGTCTCTCTCGTACTCCCAATTGACCAATGAATTTGGTTCCACATTTCAACGATACATGTGACAATTACCTAATAATTCATTGTCAAGGTGCAAGTGAGAAATAAAGGAATCTTCCTGGCAATAATTTGTGCCCCTCAACTATAGATATATTCATTTATATAATTTGTAAACAAAAAAAAAAAAAAATACAAATTCTCTTATTTTTCCAACATTTCTTTAATTTATTGCCAAATCAAATCCTCTTTTTTTTTTTTTTTTTTTTTTTTTTGAGTTTTTCTTATTCTTCCTTCATAATAATTGGTAGTATTATAGCTAGTATCATTTCTCTTTTTCAACTATTGACCTCATGCGAACTCATATTCAAACTCACTAAGACGACATATCCAATTGGAGTAGGTATTAGTGGATGTCACGCTTGCAATTGGTAGTAACAGTGAGATCAATGCAGAATAATTGAGCTAAAAATCGATCTCGTGATAAAATTTATCATCTTGTATTGTATTTAGTAGTATCATGAGTTATCCGTCAATAATGAATACCCATGCAATGGTTTATCTCTCGTTTAGACAAATACGCGAATCAATTTATATATAGGAACAGTAGTGGTTCTCACTATAATAATGAATAGTATTATGAATGTACATTTTATTACGATTCGATTTATCAACCAATTTATAAATGGTATCGGACCTATCAGTTGAGGTGAAAGAAAAAAAGACGCAAATGAAGCCACGGTGGTTGAAGTTTGCAAAGAATAGTTGCAAACGCCGTGCAAAGATTGAATAAAGCAAATTTTCGTCTACGGATCCCAGGCACGGTGGGGGTTCCATCTTGAGCTAACCAAAATCACTTGATTTGATAAATTGCACAGAAACATAGACAAAAAAGAAAAATAAAATAAAATATGACACAACACCATACATGCACTACACAAAAACCTTTAAAAATGTTCAAAAAGTTTCTATTTCCAAACGAGAAAACACGATCGATTTATAGCTCGTTTGACATGTCTTTTATTTTTACTTCCTATAAAAAAGATACCTTAGCCCGTGTTTGATGACAATTATTTTTAAAAAATAATATTTTGAATATTAATTTTTAGGGTAATTAGCACATAACGTCCTCACCTTTCATTATTATTGTGAAAAATGTCCATAGTTTTCATTTTTTTGACATTTCCACTTTTATTTCCACATTTCATTGCGTAAAAGGTCATTTTCACATATTTTCTCAATTAAAAATTATGAAATGATAAATTTACCACTCTTTAAATAAAATAAAAAGAAAAAAATAATTGTAACCACAGTTTCAATTTTTTTTAAAAAGCGCAAATAAATCTCAAATAAATTATTAAAAGGAAAATTAGTACATAGTGTCCATATCTTTTACCGTTATTACGGAAAACGTACATACCTTTCATTTTTTTTACACTTCCACCCTTAATTACACATTTAATTGCGCAAACTACCATTTCTATCTATTTGCATCCAATTTCTCAAAAAAAGCTGTGAAATAACGAATATAACAAACTATTTAAATAAAAAGTTAAATAATTAATTGCAATCATAATCTCAATTTTTAAAAAAAAAAATGCAAACAAGTCCCCAATAAATTATTAAAAAATTATTTTTTTGAAAAAGTGCAAACAAGCCCTAATTAAATTTTTTAAAAATTAAAAAATGCAAACGAGGTCCAAATTATTAAAGAATTATAAATTTAAAAAAAATGTTTTTTATTTAAATAAGAGGGTATATTCATTATTTCAAAATTCTTTATTGAAAAATTAAATGAAAATGGATGGAAATTATGATTTTCACAATTAAATGTATAATTAAGAGTGAATATCAAAAAAAAAAAAATGAAAAGTATTGACTTTTTCACAATAATGGTGAAAGATATGGACATTATGTACTTACCCTTTTAATAATTTATTTGTGACTTATTTGCGCTTTTTTAAAAAAAAGGGACTGAAATTGTAATTATTTTTTTCTTTTTCTTTTTGTTTTATTTAAAGAAATGTATATTTGTCATTTCATAATTTTTAATCGAGAAAATGGGTGAAAATGACATTTTGTACAATGAAAGATGGAAATAAGAGTGAAAATACAAAAAAATGAAAGGTATGGACGTTTTCCATAATAACAATGAAAATTTGGGACGTTATGTATTAAGTACCCTTAATTTTTAGGATAACATGTGATTACAAAGTAGGAAAAGTTTTTGGTTTACGTGTAAAATATTTTATTATGTGAATGTGTGGTTGAAAATGAGTAAAGAGTTTTTAAAAAAAAAATTTAAAAGAACTTTTTATTTCAAAAATATTTTTAAATGAAGTAACATTTGATTAGTTTTCATTAAAAACTCTTTTAACTAAATGTAGTATTTTTATAAAATTAGTACATTGGGCTCAAAAATAATTTTTGAATCTCAAAAATTTCTTTGGGATCAATACATAACTCTTAGTTTTAAAGATTATAATTCATAAAGGCTAATTAGCACAAAACGTCCCTACCTTTGGAGTTGATTTTGAAAATCATCACTACTTTTCATTTCTTGACATTTATGCCCATACCTTCAACTTTTTGTGCGCTGACCGCCCTTTTCACAACTTTTTGACGATTTAACCCCTCATTTAATTGAAACGAAAAGAAAAGAAAAGAAAAACTAAATAATTAATTGCAATGATAACCCCAAAATTTTAAAACCTACTTTTGAGTCACAAGATATTAATTTTTTGCCCCCAACTAGCCGCCAACTTCGGAGCCATTTTTAGTTACCTTCCGACCACCAAAACCATCGAATATTGGCATCAACAGAAAGGTCTTAACCTTCTCTATAATCACCACCCAACAACTTCCCGAAACACCAAATAATCTTGCCGAAATCAACTCTCGAAGTCGGCCACTCGAAAATCTAAAAACCGTCGAAATCTCCACCTCCGGCCACCCATTTGATCGGAACTCTTCACCAATCATTTGCCCACAACCAGAAGATACTAACCATGCCATCAATTTAACCCAAACAACACCACAGCACGCTGAATTAAACCCAAAAAAACAACAGCCGCTAAGAACATTCTGCAGGGCCGAACATTCACGATTTCGGCGCCGACAGCTTGACCCATGGTCGCGGATCACATGGCCTCGACTCCTCATCTCTTGGCGCACCTCCCCAACCCCTAGGTCAAGCCCAATTGTTCCCTAATGGCATTTTGTGTAATTTTCCCAATTTCTTTTACCTTCAAAAATAATAAGAAATTGGCCCATAAAAATTTAGGTTGCACCCCACCCTACATACGCGTTCACCCCAACCACATGTGTCCTTAAACTTTGTTTTGTTTAAGACAGATGGCGATTAAAAAATTTAGTGTGATATGCAGGTTTTCATAATTAACTTTTTTCGGTGCAATTAAAAAACTAATTAAAAGCACAAGAGGCGGCAACATAAGGACCACATATTTCAACTAGTGATTCATGTACACACCTTGTTTCTAGAAATTAAAATTTAGATTTTAAAGTTAAAATTAATCATTAATTTTAATCATACATCTCATTAATTTTTAATAAAATTTACTAAAAAATCTGATTTTAATCCCATAAAAATGCTGACATCATGATGATGTAATAATTGTGTAATATGTGGAAAGATTGCCTATATAGTCGCCATGAAGAAATAAAAGAAAACGCACACAATATTGATTATTAATTAATTACCAAAGTGACAATTACATAAGAAAACCCACGTTTACAACTAATCTTAGTGAACATCCCATATCATCTAACGTGACAATAGCAATCTTATTACATATAATTAATCCAATATACTAAACATGAAATTTAATATATCAATCATCCTACATGTACATCTTGTTTTACATTACTTTTTACATTGTGTCACGCACTGACACGCGATTGAACAGTTTTTTTTAAAACAACATTTTTTTCTGTTCAACAACTTTTGAATTTGCACACAATGTACACCATGATGCAATTCATGAAATGTACACTTTGCATAATTCTTTAGAACTTGTTTGGGAAAGATTTTTTTAGGGAAGAATTGATTTTGAATAGTGATATGATGGGAAATGTGTGGTTGAAAAAGAAGAAAAAATTATTGATGTGATGGAAAATATTATTTTATTGAAGAATGTGTGGTTGAAAATGAGAATTGATTTACTGTAGAAAATGAGATTAGAATCACTTGTAGGGTATAGCTCTAACATGACAATAGCAATCTTATTACATATAATTAATCCAATATACTAAACATGAAATTTAATATATCAATCATACTACATGTACATCTTGTTTTACATTACTTTTTATATTGTGTCACGCACT